TCGCACACGCACAGCGACAGTCAGGGAGGAAGCTGAAAATCTGGCAGAGTGATGGCGCCAAGGAGTTCCGCAGCCACGAGCTGGAAAGCGTCCTCACCGAAAAGGGGATCAAGCATGAGATCTCTCTCCCCTACGCTCATCAGCAGCAAGGAGTCGCAGAGAGGGTAAATCGCACCCTCATGACAAAAGTGCGCGCTCTCATGAATCAGTCCGGCCTCCCCAAGAAGTTTTGGCCTTACGCCATGAACCACGCGGTGCGCCTTTACAACCTCCTCTCCACCACGGCCAACAGGGACAACCTTTCCCCGCACATGAAGTGGACCGGCTCAAGGGGAGATTTCTCCATGTTGAGGGTTTGGGGGTGCATGGTGCAGTATCGGCCAACTTCAGCAAACATTGGCAAGTTTGCTCAGCGCGCACGCTGGGGAGTTCATCTGGGGCTCAGCAACGAGCACAAGGGGTGGCTCATTCTCGACGTCGACAGCAAGGAGATTGTTCCCGCGCGTGACATCCTCTTCTACGAAAGACTCACCTTGAAGCAGTGGATCGAGGACGAACAACGCAACCAAGCTCGCGGCTATGTCAACAGCGGCCGCAGCTTTGCATCTCCCGAGGATGAAGCAGCAGCAGCAGCCTTCGATCGCGACGACACCGACGATCATCCTGGCATTCCGCCTCGCCCTCCCTCGGACGACGACGACGACAGCGATGACGCACCTACCCCTGGACCAACCCGCCGCGAAACCGCCCCCAGCACTTCCTCACCTGGACACGACAGCGACGATGATGACGTGGTGGAGGTCCCCATCACTGACACTGCGGAAACCGCGAACGTCTCCGGCCTGCAGCTTCTCGGGCTCCACACCTCCGTCTCCGCCATAGCTCGCGCTGTTGAACCAAAGAACCCGCGCCAAGCCCTCACCGGCCCGCACGCCAAAGAATGGCGTGCAGCTATGGACGCCGAACTGAAAGCGCTGGAGTCCCGTGACACCTGGGTTCTCGTCGATCGTGCAGCAGTGAAGGGGAGGAGGGTGCTCAGCGGGAAGTGGGTTTTTCGGCTCAAGACTAACGCTGACGGAACCATTGAGCGCTTCAAGGCACGATGGGTGGTCCGAGGCTACGACCAACGCCACGGCATCGACTTCGACCAAACTTTCGCTCCTGTCAGCCGTCACACCTCCGTCAGAATCCTACTCGCCATAGCGGCTGCTAAGCATCTACCACTGCGACAGATCGACGTGAAGAACGCATTCCTATATGCGTTGGTGGATGCAACCATTTTCGTGGAGCAACCACACACCTACGGAGAAGGAGATCCCAGGGTCTGCCAGTTGAAGAAATCCCTCTATGGGATTAAGCAGGCGCCTCGTCTCTGGCAGCAGCACCTGCACAAAATTCTACTCGAAATCGGCTTCAGGCAGCTGCCGCACGACCCGGGAATGTACCGCCTCCACTTCAACGGCGATTACATCCTCCTCACCGCCTATGTCGACGACCTGCTCTACACTGGCACCTGCAACACGCTTCTTACCCAGTTCGAAGAAAACTTGGCGAAGCGCGTGGACATTACCACCAACCACAACGTCACCCAGTTTCTGGGCCTGAACATCACCTACGCGCCAGAAGCAATTCACCTGTCAGCTTCAAAATACGCAGAGCAGCTGGGAGAACGGTTCAACATCTCACGCGCACCACTCTCAACTCCATACCGCAGCCCCAGCACCAACTACAAACCAGACAACAAACCTTTGTCCCCCGCGGGGCTCCAACTGTACCAGCAGCAGCTGGGCTGCCTGCTGTTCGCATCTGTCACATGCCGACCCGACCTTTCGTACATCGCCAGCCAACTGGCACAGTACTCCCGCAAACCAGTAGAACCAGTTGGACCTGGAGCGCGCCCTGCAGTACTTCATCTCCACGCCTGACATTGGACTCTCCTACTCCACGCTGTCAACAACATCCTTCAACCTCAACGGCTACGTGGACGCTGACCATGCCGCTGACCCAGCAAATCGACGGTCCCGAACCGGCTTCGTTTTTCGCCTGGAGCCAACTGGCCCCATCTCCTGGAACTCGCAGAAACAGGAACTGGTTGCCCTGTCATCGGCCGAAGCTGAATACATCGCCGCGACAGCAGCAGTTCGCGAAGGTCTGTACCTGCAGGAGCTGTTACAGGAGGCGAAAATTCCAACCTCGCCTACCTTTCGCCTGCACTGCGACAACCAGAGCGCGATCAAGATCGCGAACAAGCCCGGGTTCGTGAACCGCACGAAGCACATCGCACTGCGGTACTTCTTCGTCAAAGACGAAATCGACCAGGGTAAAGTTGACCTCGCTTACTGCCCAACCACTGAAATGGCAGCCGACTTCCTCACCAAGCGTCTGCCACGTCAGCAGTTCAAGCACTGCTCCGACCTCACCGGAGTGGTCAAGCGAGTCAGCACCCCTCGCGTCCAGGAATGAAGGGGAGTGTTACGATATGAAGCTTTATGAGAAGGCATTCCTGTATGCTGCAGGAGCCGACTCTACCGAGTACGAAGTCGAGGAGTCAGAAGAGTCGAAGCGGCACTACAACCGTCTGACTAAGACCGATGCAGGCAGAAGCATTTGAAGTGAAAAGAGCGGGAACAGGTTTGAAACTGATTCCCGCGCCGCACAGTTTAAAATTTCGCTGCAATAAGGGAATGTACCCCTTAGAGTACATGGCTAGTCTAGGTCGTTTCGCATTCCTTTGTATTTCTATATAAACCCAATGTATGCATGCTATTATCAATCTCAGTCATTTACATTCACTCTGACCTGAGTTCACTACTTCCGCTGCGACACTACCCGCGATCAACCCTGAACGATCATCAACGCTGAGTCACATTTCAGATTGTAACAGTTTCTCGGGCGGCATTTCGCCCAAACCTCGGAGGAGGGTTCCGCCCCCGTTTCCTTTTGCGGTCGCGATGCTGATGCCATCGTTTTCAATTTAAAAAGGGCATTTATCTTAGCGGTAACAATCATGGAGCTCGATCGCACGCGAGATAAGCTACGTGTCCAAATCGTAACAGAGATGTCTTCTCATCGCCACCATGGTAACCAGGATTGCCGGGATGGTCAGCATTATTGCCTGAATGGTAATGAACAGTGCATGCGGAAATCCTGGCTGGTAACTTCGCGTTTCAACCAAACTGTACATCGTACAAGTCAGGTTTGACTCTGCAAAATGAAACTGACTGTCCACGTATATACCCACAGAATGCGCAATTTTGTTTAGTATACCAACGGTTACAAACGTGAAACGTTACATGCACATCCTCGATATTTTAACTATCACTATTATAGCATGCATCTTATGGACACTCTGGAAAAACAGATGTAGACTGATTATTAAGAACATGTGATTAAATTATCTGTTAATACGGTTTATATCAAGCCTTGAATGTATGGTTCATTCTATCAATAAAAGGTTTTAAATTATATGCAACTACTATTGTTCAGTTCATATTGAAATTGACATTGTGTGTTTTTTTGTGGCGTTTGTCTTATATTTAATGATTTATGTTTGTTTGTTTGATTGTATTTTTTTTTCTACGGCTTACAAGTTTGCATATCGATGTTTTACTGTCTGGAATTGTAAACGTCGCTATTATAAACAGAATTGCGCATTCTGTGGGTGTATACGTAGACAGCCAGTTCCATGTTGCTGAGTCAAACCTGACTTGTACGGTATACAGTTTGGTTGGAACACGAATTTACCATCCAGGATTTCCGGATGCACTGTTCATTACCATTCAGGCAATAATGCTGACCATCTCGGCAATCCTGGTTACCATGGTGGCGATGAGAAGACATCTCTGTTACAGTTTAGACACGTAGCTTACCTCGCGTGCAATTGAGCTCCATGATTGTTACCGCGAAGATAAATGCCCTTTAAAAACGATTTGCTGGCCAACAGCACCGTTGGTGCTCGCGCCTTTGACGAATGGCGGGTTTGCGTTTCGGACAATGCTGCTGCGGTCAGGGAGATTCTTCCAATGAGGTGCTTGCTTGCTGCCCTATCGGAACCCTTGGAGCCACCAAAACCAAAATGTTGTGGCGTGGAGCGTTAGTCTTACTTCCGTGCTGCCCTGATTGGTGGGGTTGGGGAGGATAATAGTAAATAGGAAGGCAGCACGAGTGTACCCGAAAGGGCAACCGTATGTTTCCTGGATGGCGGATTTTGCCACATCCTGGGCCCTCCGATTACTTCCCTCCCCTCCACTCCCTGCTCGAAACCACATACTTGTCTGAGCCCTGTATTTTGTATTCTCGGGGGGAGCACTGGACTGTATTCAAATAAGCTCAGTCAGAATACACAGTAGCCAGAATAACTCCTGGAAAATAGGGTACGGCGCACCCTAAGCGTCCACATGGGCAGTTCCAGCTCAAGCGGTTCTGCTTCCACTTCAGGAACGTTTTCAGATTCTGCGTTTCCATCCATTCCTGGCTCACCCTCATCATAGCTTCAGTGGTTCTCGACTGACATAACAGCGTCAGTGGTTTTTGAGAACACTGTTCTGCGACCCGAGTAGCGACCAGAGCAGCGTCCATGTTCAGGATGCCTCGAGTGGTTCCCAGATGAGAGGGGCTGGCGCTGCCCACCCGCACCCACTGCACTGCAGCCACGGCGACACCCAACGCGGCCATGGTGCCTTTGCCCCTTGACCACCTCTCCCTTCACATCGTCACCATTTGTCGCGCAACGCGATCGGTAGGTTAGGCACGATAGGCCATCCATTCATTCCGTGCGCGCGCCATTTCTGGGACGCCCAAGCGTCCTCGTGTGAACGGCTGCGCGCCACTCTTCCTTTCCGGAGCGCGGAACGGTAGGTCTCCCTCATTCCCCCAAAGCTCCGCTTGCGCTGGTCGCTCGTCGCTCGTCGTAGCGTGAGGCGCGAGGCGGCGGCCTGCGCAGCTCCGCCAGGTGTATGCGTGTGGCGGTTAGCTCGCGAGCCCGCCAGTAGAGCGCGCGTATGGATCCCGCCGCCCCCTCCCCGAGCGGCGATCGCCCGGCGACGGGCACGGCGGGGGAGGCGGAGAGGCGGCAGCGGCAGCGCGTGAAGCGGGAGGTGTGCGACGAAGTGGTCCGCAAGCTGCGCGAGGCGCGCCACCCGAGCGCGCAGGCCAGCGGCTTCGACGCCGACCTCCTCGCGCACTTCAACCGCCTCCCCATCAGGCGAGTCGCGTCTTTCCCAGTCTCGAGCCCGCCGCGTCGTCGCGTTTTGCCGTCCCGTCGTTCCCACACGCAATTTTATCGCCGGAATTGCTGTCGTGCGACTGCAGGGACTCGTCGCACTGTCGCTCAGCCTGACTCATTGTGTGCTTGCGCGTGTGCGGCTGTCCGTGGCATGGTATGGCATGGCATGGCATGGTATGGCATGGCATGGCATGGCATGGCATGGCATGGCATGGCATGGCATGGCATGGCATGGCACACGAACTCACTCCATGGCACGGCGCGCTTGGCGGCGGCAGGTACGCGTTGGACGTGAACACGGAGCGCGCGGAGGACGTGCTGACGCACAAGCGGCTGCTGGAGGAGGCGGCGCGGCTGCACGGGCTGCCCGTCTTCTTCGTCCGCGCCGTCCGGGTACGCGCGCGCCCCCGCTGCCCCCCGCCCGCCTCACCCTTACTCGCTTCTGCTTTCATCCCTAATTGGGCTCCCCCCGCCTGCCCCAATTCCCGCCTGTCTTAAGGCCTGCCTACCGCAGCGCAATGCCGGCGCTTGCGCTTCGCAAGCGCGCCGTTGAGGCGGCCCCTTGCGCCTCCTCATGCGTGCGCGTGTGCGTCCCCCTTGCGCGCTTCCCGCAGATGGCGGCAGCGGGGGAGGCGGGGCAGCACGCGAGCATGGAGACGAACGACCACCATCCTGCCTTGGCGCCCCACGGGTAACCGCCCCCCGACACGCCTTCGTCCTCTCTCTTCTCTCCTTGCTCCCCTCCGTGCTTGCACCTCTTCCCCTCTCCTTCACGCCAATCCTCCTCGACCCTGCATTTTCCCCTTCGCCCTTTCCCTCCCTCGAACCTTCAATTTCGTCCCCTCCTATCCCCCCTCCCATTATCCCTCGTCCCCCTCGCCCCCCTCCCACTCTCCCCTCTCCCCTCTCCCCTCTCCCCTCTCCCCTCTCCCCTCTCCCCTCTCCCCTCTCTCCCCTCTCCCCTCTCCCCCTATCCCCCCTCCATCCCCCCCTCTCTCGTCCCCCGGGGGAGCAGCGCGCTAGCGCCGCCAGCGTTTGGGTCGTCGCCGAATCTGGAGGAGCCGGTGGCGGGCGGCGGGCATGGCGGGGCGGGCGGCATGGACGCCGACCACCCCAACTCGCTCAGGTGCTCGCGCACACTCGTGCCGTGGGGCATGGTGGGGCGTGGTGGGGCGTGGGTGGGGCATGGTGAGGCGTGGGGCATGGTGGGGCGTGGGGCATGGTGGGGTGTGGTGGCGATGAGGTGAGGTGTAGTGGTGGGGGAGAGGGCGGTGAGGCTGTGGCGGGCCTGACAGGGGGAGAGGCGTGTTCTGTGTGGGGGGCGGGTGAATGAATGACACCTTCCTGCCATGCATCCGTCCGCCTCACTTCGACTCCACCTCCCCTCTCCCTCATGCCTCATGCCTCGCCTCCTCGCCTCTCCCCTCCCCCCCATGCGCCCTGCCCTCCCCTCTCCCCCCCTTTCCCCCCCACGGCAGTGCGCCGTACTACAACGTGCCCATGCACGAGGTCACCTTCTCCACCTTCGACCGCCCCAAGCTGCTCAGCCAGGTGCGTGCTCAGCCAGGTGAGTGATAAGTGCTCAGCCAGGTGCGTGATAAGTGCTCAGCCAGGTGTGTGCTCAGCCAGGTGGTTGACAAGTGCTAATCCGAGGTTTCACTCCTCAGCACGGCATCAAATCCCCCTCCTCTGTACCCCTTTTCCCCTTTCCCTTCCCCCCATGGCCTCCGTCCTCGTGTCCTGGGCAGCTGTCAGCGGTGTTGGCGGATGCGGGGTTGAACATAAGGGAGGCGCATGTCTTCTCCACGTCCGACGGGCTCTCCCTCGACGTCTTTGTTGTCGACGGCTGGCCCACCGAGGTCTGCCCTGCCCTCACCATCCGCTTACACCACTGCCTCTCTCCGTGCTCTCGCCCCCCCTGCTTCTCTCCGTGCTCTCGCCCCCCACTGCCTCCATCCCGTCGTGCCATGTCAATTTCCTCCCCTCCTAACCCCTCCCATCTCGTTTGTGCCGTGTGGCGTGCCGCGTGACGAGCTGCCTGCTGTGCGCCTATGCACCCGTGTGTGCCCCATGTGTGTGTGCGCATCCCTGCATGTGCATGTGCATGTGCATGTGCATGTGCTTGCATGCACGGCCATCAGGACGTGGTGGATCTGCATGCAGCCTTGGTGCGCGTGCTGCAGGTCAGCCCCACTCCCACCCGCCTCTGCTCCACTCATGCCCTTACTAGCCCCATGCACCTCACTACACCTCACTGCACCCCCTGCACCTCACTGCACCTCACTGCACCTCACTGCACTCCCTGCACCTCACTGCACCCCCTGCACCTCACTGCGCCCCCTGCACCTCACCGCACCTCACTGCACCTCACTGCGACTCATAGCGCGGATGCCATGTGGATGCACACACTCCATCCTTCACCCATCCGTTACCTGCTGCAATCACACGGTGCCCATGCTCTCGTTTTTTCGTCAACCACACTCACTCGCTCACTCATTCTCCGTTGCCTGGCAGATGGGGGCGGGCGCAGCGCTCTCCATGCAGCCAGAGGCGTCCGGCCAGTCAATGCAGTCGATGCAGTCAGGGCCGGGCCCCGCCGTGTCGGAGTCAACGGGCATGGGAGGGGCGGGGGCAGCGGGGCAGGGGGCGGGGTCGATGGTGTCGGGGGCGGAGTCACAGTCGCGCGTGCCCATCCCCACGGACGGGCGGGACGACTGGGAGATCGACAGCCAGCAGCTCAAGCTGCACCACAAGATCGCCTCCGGCTCCTTTGGTGACCTGTGAGCCGCGCCTCACCCTCTTTGGATCGAGCTCGCTGTGCTCCACTCACGCTTTTCACTGCCTTGCTTCGTTGCATGTCTCATGCTCACTCTGTATGCTCGTCACTATGTTCAACATGGCATGGCACCAGGTACCGGGGCACGTACTGCGGGCAGGACGTGGCGATCAAGATCTTAAAGCCCGAGCGACTTAACGACTCGCTGCAGCAGGAGTTCGCACAGGAGGTGTATATCATGAGGTGATACATAAGACTCAGTAACGCACTTACTCGTAGTACCACTCATAATGCTAAGTAACGCGCTTACTTAGGCTAAGTGTCACATTGTGAGGTGTTCATCATGAGGTGAGGCTGTGTCAGGCCCGAGTGGTGTGACTTCAAGTGAATACTTGTCATGTTGTACGGTTGACTGTCCACCCACTGCCATCACTCACTGCACACTGCTGTCATGTGTGTGCCATGCCGTGCTGAATGCAAAACCCTTGGCCTCAACAGGAAGGTGCGCCATAAGAACGTGGTGCAATTCATTGGAGCCTGCACCAAGCCACCCAACCTCTCTATAGTCACGGGTATGGTGCGCCAAGAGTGCATGTTGAAGTAAAGTTGTAGCATAAGCAATCAAAGTGACTCATATGAACACCACGTTGCACCCCACCGTGTGCCATGCCATGCTCCCATCCTCTCCCTCCATTGCTGCCAACCATTCTTGCCTCAAAACCCCTCTGTCTTGTCTTCCGACTCGCCCTTTCCCTCCCCCCTCGGTGTGTGTGCGTGCATGTGAGTAACCAGAGTTCATGGTGGGTGGCAGTGTGTACGACTACATTCACAAGCAGCGTGGCAGCATGCGCCTGCCCATGGTGGTGCGTGTGGCCATGGACGTGGCCAAGGGAATGGACTTCCTGCACAAGAACAACATCATCCACCGCGACCTCAAGGCTGCTAACCTACTTATGGATGAGAACGAGGTGCGTGGTGTGGTGTGCGGTGCTGTGCGGTCTGCGTGTGTGTCTCGGTGCATGAGTGGGTGCTGCACGCGGGAATGGACACAAGAACAACATCATTCACCGCGACCTCAAAGCTGCCAACCTCCTCATGGACGAAAACGAGGTGCACTTCGTTCCTGTCTTGTGCTAATTCTTGGACAAAAACGGAGCAAGCTGCTCACTCTTGCTACTGCCCCTGCTGCCTGCCCCCGTCCGCTGCACATCCCCCACCCAAGCCGCATCGCATTGCCCATGCCCGATGCCCATGGCCATTCCCCCACCCTTGTGCCTCCCGCCCCCCTCCCCCCCGTGGCACAGGTGGTGAAGGTGGCGGACTTTGGGGTGGCGAGGGTGAAGGCGGGCAGTGGCATCATGACGGCCGAGACCGGCACGTACCGATGGATGGCGCCTGAGGTGAGACCGACTGGGGTGCCGGTGGTTTATCCAACAGTATAGGAATGGATTAAGTACCACAAGCACAAAAAAAGTTTTCAAAAGTCTCCTCCTGACTGTGTGCCATGCCATGGTGTGTGATACCTCCCATGCCATGGTGTGTGATACCTCCCATGCCATGGTGTGTGATACCTCCCATGCCATGGTGTGTGATACCTCCCATGCCATGGTGTGTGATACCTCCCATGCCATGGTGTGTGATACCTCCCATGCCCCCTGCCTGCACCACGCGCCATGCACCACCCCCTGCACCATGGGAGTGGCAGGTGATAGAGCACCGTGCGTACGACCACAAGGCGGACGTCTTCAGCTTCGGCATCACGCTGTGGGAGCTGCTCACCGGCAAGGTGCGGTGCTGTGGGGCACATGGGGCACGTGAGTGGGGTCGTTGGGAGATGGGGCAGGTGAAATGGGAGGGATGGGGATGATGTGGGCTGCTCGTCTCACCCTGCTCGATGTCAAGGTGGGGAGGGGTGGGGGGATGAGGGCGAGGTAGGGGTGTTTGGAGGGCAAGCGGGCTTGCAGCCAGAGGTCGTCCTGCACGCACATGCGCATGAATCACCTCTCACGCCTCTTAACTCTCCTTCTCGCCTCACTCTCTGTCGTTGTGCTTGTGCATGTGCCTGTTGTCGTGCGTTTCTGTGTGCATGTGCCCCGGCTGCATGGCACAGCTACCATATGCGGATCTCACGCCCCTGCAAGCAGCTGTCAGCGTCGTGCAAAAGGTGAGTAGTGGTGTGAAGCGGTTGTGAGGAGTTGGTGTGAGAATGATTGTGAGAACTGGGTGTGGGAATGGTTGTTACTTGGTCACAGGGTTGCACACGCTGCACCAAACCACACTCTCTCCTCTCCACAGCCGCACCATCTCACACTCTGCACTACGCCTCGTGCTCTCGTCCCTGCAACCCCCTGTCCCCCCCTCCCCCCACGGCAGGGGCTGCGGCCGCCCATCCCCAAGGGCACGCACCCACGGCTGGCGGAGCTGATGGTGCGGTGCTGGCACACCAACCCCAATGAACGACCTGAGTTCAGCATAGTGCTGCGCCTGCTGGCTGACATGGCCCATGAGGTGCGGGAGGGAAAGGGGGGCATGAGGTGCGGGGGAGGGAGGGGCATGGCGATGAGGTATGGGTTGGGTGGGCAGGCATGGCGCATGTGGTGAGGGGGGATGGCGCATGAAGGGAGGTAGTGCTGGGGACCACAGTTGCTCCAAGGAGGGCGCAACAACATCACCACCCATCCCTCCATGCGACCTGCGTGTGATCCGCATAACTCTTCTTTTCCTAATCTTGTTCATCCACTGTCTCATCCCCAATCTTGTTCATCCACTGTCTCATCCCCAACTCTCTTCCTCCCCCTGTCTGTGCCACCCTACCCGCTGTGTGCGCCGTGCCTGTGTGGTTGCGGATGAGCAGGTGGAGGAGGAGGGCGACGGCGAGCAGAGGCGCCGGGAGAAGCGAGGCGGCTTCTTTGCCTCGCTTAAACGCACAGGGGGCAAGTGAGGGGAGCAGGGGGCAAGTGAGGGGAGCAGGGGGCAAGTGAGGGGAGCAGGGGGGCAAGTGAGGGGAGCAGGGGGGCAAGTGAGGGGAGCAGGGGGCAAGTGAGGGGAGCAGGGGGGGCAAGTGAGGGGAGCAGGGGGCAAGTGAGGGGAGCAGGGGGCAAGTGAGGGGAGCAGGGGGCAAGTGAGGGGAGCAGGGGGCAAGTGAGGGGAGCAGGGGGCAAGTGGGAGGGGTAGGGAGCAATTGAGATGGTGAGGGTGGTTAAGCGGCAGTCCATCGTGCGGGCAGGGGCTTGCATGAGGTTGCAGGGTTGACGTGTCTGCTTGCACGCACATGTGCATGCCCTGCCGTATGCTTGCTGCATTATCCGTATGCTTGCTGCAGTGCACTAAGGGGAGCACGGATCGGCAGCACTTAGAGGAGTGCAGAAGCAGAGGGCAGAGGCAGTTCCCTTCCTCCAGTGGCAGGGGACAGTGGAGACAAATTATGTTGAGGGCACAGCAGTGGAAGGGCACAAGGCAGCTCAAGTGCATTCATTGTAGGGTCAATTTTGAACAATCGCCAGACACAAGGCGGGAGGGGCGAAGGATGAGGGGGTTCGTAGAGGTTGTGGGAAGGGGGGAGGGAGCATGAAGCGGCAGTGGCATTTAGGTACAGCGCAGCACCAGCGATTTTGACAGTCCTTGTGACTGGGTGGACCCCATGCTGCTGGTTGTGCCATGCATGGAAGATGAGTACCGTTTGTGATGGCGCTCCCCTGCCCACTCAGCGGTTCCCACAAACTCTTGAGGTCCTTCCTTGCGCTCCTTCGCTTCGCCATCCATTCCATGCCACATGGTTTGTGCCAAGAAACATTGCCATCTGGCATCCAATTTTGCAGCTTAGTGATCAAGTGTGTACATCAAATGTTTGTGAGATTTGTGGTGCTTCATACATACATACCGTAGTCCTGTGATGCCTCAGCACAGTAATTACGCTTATGATGGCTGTGATAACCGAATTCTGTGAGAAGGAACAGTGCCTTTCTGGAAAAGAAAAACATACAAGGCCCTTGATAAAGAAGGCTACAATTCTGTAAATGAAAGGGTTAGTCTATCACACTGCGGTGTTTGGTTATTGTCAGTTGCATCTGTACAAAGGGCCAAACCACTGTTTCTCCCACTTCTTCCCTCTCTGCTGTCCCTTGTGCCCTGACCCACATGCTCATCCTTAACAACCTCCATTCCAACCCCAGACCGTGCACCCCCTCTTGCACCTCGATCACCCCCTTCCTTCGCCACTCCTCCCTCGCCCTCTTCGCCCTCCCCATCCCCTCGCACCCCGGGATCCCAGTCGGTGCCCTCCGCGCCTGCATCGTCCACCCTGCCGGCGGCCTGCTGGCTGTCGAGGCGGCTCACGAAGGGCAGGATGTGCACCTCGGGGTGCTGCAACCGTACCGCCTGACGCCACCATGCAGGGCGGGTGGACGGAGAAGGAGGGGGGGAGGTTAGCTGGACCAGGGGGTAGTGGACGAGTGCTTGACACGCGTGCAGGAGCAGGTCAGTGCCTCTCCTACCTCCACCTCTTGCTGCCCCTGCCTGCCCTACCTCCACCTCTTGCTGCCCGTGCGTGCGTGCGTGGCTCACCTGGATCTGTCGCTGCAGGTGCGTGACATACTCGATGGCATCCTCCAACATGTCTGCTGCATTCACCTGGTGCATGCATGCACACCCATGAGAACACGCATGGACACATGCACACACGCAAAAGCACATGCACACGTGAACAAACATACGTGTACACACGAGCATGCGAGCACACGTGCACGCATGCAGCCTTGCAGGCACACATGGACACATTCATTCCATTGCACAGAGCGGAAGCATGGAGGAGAGAGGGGCATGCATTCACACACTGTACTAGGGGGAGAGGCTCAGAAAACCACAACAGACGGAAAAGAGGGGCACAGAAGACCACACAGCTGCATATGGGGAGAGCATGGAGTGACTGTGGGAGTGATGTAAGCTCTCCCCAGTGCCGTAGTAGCAGTGCTTACCGTCCACCAACACCACACCACACACAACGTAATGTACACCATCTGTGACTGCTTCTCCTCCACACACCACACCCCCTGCTGCTGCTGCTCGCCCCTGCCAGTCCACCTCCTTCATGCCCACGCCCGCCCTTCACCTGCCTATGCATGCCCCCACACACCTGCCTGCGCATACCCCCACGCACCTAAGCCGCTCCTAAAAGCATCGTTGCGGACGCACTTGGCGGTCCATGCCGGGAATGAGGTCGCACCTGGCGGTCCATGCCGGGAATGAGGTCGCACCTGGCGGTCCATGCCGGGAATGGGGTCGCACCTGGCGGTCCATGTCGGGAATGAGGTCGCACCTGGCGGTCCATGCCGGGAATGAGGTCGCACCTGGCGGTCCATGCCGGGAATGAGGTCGCACCTGCCGGTCCATGCCGGGAATGAGGTCGCACCTGCCGGTCCATGCCGGGAATGAGGTCGCACCTGCCGGTCCATGCCGGGAATGAGGTCGCACCTGCCGGTCCATGCCGGGAATGAGGTCGCACCTGCCGGTCCATGCCGGGAATGAGGTCGCACCTGGCGGTCCATGCCAGGAATGAGGTCGGCCAGGAGCTTCATCTTGTCACTGATGCGCGACCGCCGCACCTGCCATGGGTGGAATGCGGTGCAAATAGGTGTGCTACGCGGTAAGCTGTGATGCAGATGGGTGTGCTATTCGGTAAGCTGTGATGCAGATGGGTGTCCTATGCGGTAAGCTGTGGTGCAGATGGGTGTGCTATGCGGTTAGTTGAGATGAAGATCAGCATGCTACGCGGTAAGCTGTGGTGCAGGTGGGTGTGCTACGCGGTAAGTTGTGGTGCAGGTGGGTGTGCTATGCGGTAAGTTGTGGTGCAGCTAGAGTCCTAAAGTCCCAGGGCAGGCCGAGGTCGAAGATGCAACTCTTCTTCCCTCATCCCACAACCCCCACAACAGCACCCCCCGCCCCAACCCGTCTCCAACCCTCCTGCCCTTCTCCGCTCTCCCTCATGCCCCCCTCTCACCCGTTCAGCAATGGAGCGGGGGTGGGTGGCCTGGCCGCGCTTGGCGCGCACCTTGCACAGCACGCCATCCGCTGCCTCCACCATGCGCCGCTTCCCCCCTGCCCCCCCGCCCACACCCGCGCCCCCCATGCCCGCTTCCCTCCTGCCCAGCGCCCCCCCTCCCCCTTCCCCCCCTGCGCCTGCTGCACCAGCTCCCCCCAGCGCCCGAGGCTGCGCACGCCTTGGGCTCAGCAGAGGGGCGTGCGGCGAGAGGAGGGGCGCGGAGGGCGGCGGGGCGGACTGGGGTGAGAGGGCGGATGATGGGGACTGAGAGCATTGGGGGGGGGGGACAAAGGGGCGGATGGGAGGAATAAGGAGAAGCAGGGGAAGAAGGAAAGGCAGAGGAAGAAGGAAACGAAGAGGAAGAAGGAAAGTAGAGGAAGAAGGAAAAGCAGATAGAAGCAGATGAGGAAGGAAAAGCAGAGGAAGAAGGAAAAGAGGAGGAAGAAGGAAAGCAGAGGAAGAAGGAAAAGCGGAGGAACAAAGAAAGGCTGAAAAAAGAAGGAAAAGCAGAGGAAGGAAAAGCAGAGGGGCGGGGTGAGAGGGAGAAAATGGGGAGGGAGTGAGGAGGTGCAGGAGCAGAAGGAGAAGGTGTATGAACGGTGTGCGGGGTGTATGGAGGGAGGGGTGGAGGGAGGGGTGGAGAGGGGGGTGTATGTGAGGGGTGAGTGACACACCACACCACCGTTGCTGCGCGTGGCCCCTGCCTGCACCGCTGCCATGGGTGTGTGCGCGCCCCCACCCGCCATCCACTGCTGGGGGAACAGCTGCGCCTCGCCCTGCCCACACCCGCCACTCCCCACCCCCTCACCCATTCCCCCGAACCCTCCCATCCCCCGAGCCCCGCCGAATGTGCTGCCACTGCATGCAGCGCCCCCCAGCAGCCCCTGGCGCATGCGGCTGCTGTCCCCCCCGCCTGCAGTGCTGCCGGCCCCACCGTTCATGCCCACCATGCCCACGCCCATCGGCTCCCCACTGCCCCCCCCGGCCCCAGCGCCAGTGCCAGGCGCAGAGCTGCTTCCCCCCATCATGCCCGCGCCCAGCTCCAGTCCCCCATGCATGCCGCCCTGCGCCTGTAGACCCCCCTCTCCGCCTGCCCCCAGCGCCAGAGCCAGCACCTGCGCCACCTGCGCTGGGGACTGTTGCTGGGCGGAAAGTGGGTCGGCGGAGGGGTGGGCGGGGGCGACAGGGCCCTGCATCAGCCCGTGCAGCTGCATCAACACCTGTAGCGGCAGCTGGGGGGACTGGGGCGACGCCTGCTGCTGCTGCTGCTGCTGCTGGTGCTGCTGCTGCTGCTGGGCTGGAGCTTGGGCGTGGAAAGGAGCAGAGGGGGGCGGTGTTGCGAGGGGGTGGTGGTCCGGCAGGGAGGAATGCGCGGAGGGCAGTGTGAGGCCTAGCAGGCGCAGGTTGGCGCCCCCCGATTGGTCCAGGTCCGCCAGCTGTGCCTGCGCCTGCTGCAGCAGATCTGCACTCAAGGGCGAGGCGACCAAAGAGGAGGGGGGAAGGGGGAGGGGGGCTTAAAAAAAAAAAGGGACAGCAGAAAAGGGGAACGCTTGCAGCTAGAATGTTGGAGCAAGAGGCCAAAGGGTAACGTGCCACCTGAAACGTGTTGGTCGGTTCCCTATCCTCTCCTTCCCAACCTGCCTGTGAGGTAAGCTGAGTTTGCATTGCCTTGCGCGCCAGCAAACGACTCCCCCTGCACCATCTCCGTCTGCCGCCACTCGCCGCTGGGCCCAGGTGCTACTCCGGCGGGCGAGGGCAGGTCCAGGCCGGCAGCGAGGGACAGGCTGGTGGTGGTGCGCCGTGCCAGCGCAGCCTCGTGGCCTGCGCCCGTGCTGCCGCTCCGCTCACTGCCACCGTCCGGCGCGTGGCGGGCTCTCTGCTGTGCAGGGGAGGCATGGAAGGCAGCAGGGCCGTGTGGGCGCGTGGCTGTGGGCTGGGGCGCTGGGGCGGAAGGCAGGGTGGGCGGCGGGGTGAAGTTGAAGCGCGGGAGGCCGTCGGGGGCGACTGCGTGGTTGGAGGGGAAGTGAGGCGCGTGCGCGGCGTGCGAGGGCGACACGTGGCAGGCGCTGGGCTCGGCGGCTGAGGCCGATGGAGCTGCTGGGGCTGCGCCACCCTGCTGGGAGGCAGCGGCAGCGGCGAGCTGCGAGTAGAGGAAGTGGTAGGCGGGAGGCATGGCGCCGGGCGGCATGTCGCTGGGCGGCAGAGAGCTGGGCTGCATGGGTGCGGCCTCTTGCGGCGGGAAGGAGGCGATGCCGGCTGCTGCTGCCGCACCAGATGATGCATCCATGGCGCTGATGTGGGAGGGCGATGGCTGCGAGCAAAAGGCAAGGCGGCATGCGAGGGACGGGTACACCTGATGCACAGTGAACAGCCCATCCCAAACACGCCGAGACACATTCCACAAGAGCCAATGGGCAACGGCTCAATCGTTACACGGCCACAATGAAAGCACTGTTCGTCTTCGCAGCAAAAGTCATCTTGTCTCTCATACAGAACACGCTGGGTTATTTAAATCTTGCCAACTGTAGGTGAACTGGTAGTAACCCTAGTTTCGTGTGCAATCCATTTATAGCCCTGACAGAAAGCGGGTGCGAGTGGGAAGCATATTCCTATCCGAAACCAGGGTGCGGAGAGGGCACAAGGTGCAGTACTACGTGAGTGAGTGCGCCCCTCCTTCTCCCTTTACCACCCACCCGCGATCCGCGGCGGCACTCGCCAGCAGCACCGGCAGGGAGGAGGTTGAGCCGAGAATGGAGAACAAGGAGCAGCAGACACTACTACGAGAAACAAGGGAGAGCAACGGCGGGTCTTCGTTTCCTCTTTCAGAAAGTAATACTCTTTCCGCGTTCGTTTTGCACGACAAGCCACTCGCCTGCCCTCGTTTTCTTTCCCCTACCTTCACCTGCACCCAACACCTTGATTTACTAAGTCTCCCTCGCCCCTTCTCCTTTCTGACGAGGTGCGGTCTCACGGTTTGTCATCATAGCTTCATTCTCTTGCCACAGGTTAATGATTCCCCTTCCGTGTGCGCCCACTCAAGAGTTCTCACCTTCGCGTGCAAGCTATTTCGGGAAAAGAATGTCAAGAGCTCAGAGGAAACGTGCGCGGGAGCGTGATGGAGGGACAGCCTACAAACGGCGGCGGAGCTAGCTCGCGAGAAGCGAGGAGGAGCGAGGAGGAAAACGGAAGCGAGGAGAACGCGAAACCGTTATTAGCCTAAGGAGCGTGCAAGATAGGAGGACGCTAGGAGAGCATTCGCACCTGGCGAGTTGGTATCTTGTGCATCCGTGTGTTCTAGATTGCGTCGTACCAGCGACGTGCAAGTAGCAATCTTCAGTGAGCCGCTTGCTACTCGCCTGGACTCCCATGATTTCCCAGCTGCTGACTGAACCCCCCTTCTCATCCATCTGTTCACCTGCAGTGGTGGTTGGTGCTTGGAAAAACTAAAAAACTTGAGTGGGCAACCCCAGAACAGTGGCGGATCTGAAACCAAGAATATGGTCCCTTCCCCCACTCCTTCTAGGAAGCCTGGCTTGCCGGCTTTTGCGTGGGAATGGTGTTGGTCGGTGAGTGGGTAGGTGGGGGGAAATCCCCGCACAGCTCAACTCAAGCCCAGGAAGGTGTACCAATCATTCACTCCCAGACCCCTGCTTAGATATTCGTATTTATTTCCGTACCTTATGAGATGTTCACTCTCAAAGCTCCCTAACGCCCTGAATTTCAGTGGCATGTGAATCAATTCTACGAGAAAGTGATAATCGCAGAAACTGATGATTCCCACTGCACATAGTGTAGGGCTTTTCACACACTTTCCTTTCTGCGCTTGGTCGCATTGATTGCCTTCTGACCTGCTTTCCGCCTCTAGTGAAATAAATTATATAAACAAAACAAGTAACTGTCCCCTCACATCACAGGGTTTCCTTTGATGAGGCTAATTTCTTTTAACCTCAAAACATTTGCATGATTTTCAAAGAACCCCTGGAATGTGTTTGTATGATAAAAAAACATTTCGTGTCCACACTGTTACGCTCCTTCCCCCCCCCCCCCCCCCTCTCACCCCCCCTCGAACTCTTCTGTTCTATGGTGTACATCACTGCCACCACTTGCGCACGCTGCACGACCGCCTCCGCTCCGCGGCATTTCGTTCTCCATCCACTTGACTCAGTCAGTCGCTGCACGTGGCGATCGAAGCGGTCGGAAGTGGTTGAAGTGGAGGTGGGGGATGACGAGCACCAATCGCACTTCAAGTTCGTTTCGTGTGAAGACAGCCACATTGACAGCTGGAGTGCGGAAAGAAACAAACTTCACATGAGTGTGGTGTGCACTGTGCGCTGGTCGTCCCGCACAGTATTCAAGATTGCGTCGTTTTTCCAAAGTTGAAACAGAAGCAGCCCCTACTCCTCCCCGCCGCTGGAAGGGGCTGTTTCTAGCGCAAACTGGTTTTCAATATGTTTTATAGCTTACCAAATGTATACATCCATTCTCTATGTTTTGTAAATCACAATGACAATGACATTTCAGATTTAGCTCAATGACAATGACAAGACCAAGGCCACCATGGATTTCAAGTAGATGCTGTGCAGGAAGTCCAACAGGCGCTCTTCATTCGCGGGCGCCGATGACCAATGGTGCTCGCAACCCTTCCACGCCCTTGCTGGCTTGGTAATAGGTACAGACAAGCGCACCTACATGACCCGGAGGAAGAAAAACGCTCGGAACAGGCGCTTTCATCCCCAAAACGCGGAAGGATCCGCACATGTGCAAGAAGTGCAGCGGGCGCTCTTCATTCGCGAGCGCCAATGACCGATGATGCTGACAACCCTCCCACGCCCTTGCTGACTTGGTAATAGGCCCAAACATGCGCAGCTACGTGACATCGCAAAAGAAAAACGTTCGGAACGAGCGCTTACACTCCCAAAACTCGGAAGTATCCGCACATGTGCAGGAAGTGCAGCGGACGCTCTTCATTCGCGAGCGCCGATGACCGATGATGCTCGCAACTCCCCCACACCCTTGTTAGCATGGTAAAAGGCCCAAAGAAGCGCAACCATGCGATATCGGAAAAGAAACACGATCGAAACTAACGCTTCTACACCTAAGACGCGGAAGGATCCGCACATGTGCAAGAAGTGCGGCGGACGCTCTTCGTTTGCGAGTGCTGATGATAGATGATGCTCGCAACCCTCCCACGCCCTTGTTGGCTTGGTAATAGGACCAGACAAGCGCAGCCACGTGATCCGGCAAAAAAAAAAAAAAAAACGCTTGGAACGAGCGCTTCCACCCCCAAAACGCAGAAGGATCCGCACATGTGCAGGAAGTGCAGCAGACGCTTTTCATTCGCTAGTGCCGATGATCGATGATGCTCGCAACGCTCCCACGACCTTGCTGGCTTGGTAATTGGCCCAAATAAGTGCAGCCACATGACCCGGTGGAAGAAAAACGCTCGGAACGAGGCCTTCCAAACCCAAAACGCGGAAGGATCCGCACAGGTGCTATAAGCGTAGCAGGTGTTCGTCATTCGCGAGTGCCGATGACTGATGATGCTTGCACGCCCTTGCTGCCTTAGTAATAGGCCCAAAAAAATGCAGCCACGTGACATCGCGAAAGATTAATGCTTGGAACGAACGCCTCCACTCCCAAAACGCGGAAGGATCCGCACATGTGCAGGAAGTGCAGCGAGCGCTCTTCATTCGCAAACACCGATAAACGATGATGCTGGCAACCCTCCCATGCCCTTACTGGCTCGGTGATAGGCCCTGATAAGCGCAGCCACGTGACGTCACGGAAGAAAAATGCTCGAAACGAGCGCTTCCACTCCCAAAATTCGGAAGTATCCGCACATGTGTAGGAATTGTAGTGGGCGCTGTTCATTCGCGAGCGTTGATGACCAATGATGCTCGCAACTCTCCCTCGCCCTTGCTAGCTTGGTAAAAGAAAAACGCTCGGAACGAGCGCTTTTACTACCAAAAACGTGGAAGGATCCGCACATGTGCAGGAAGTGCAGGGGGCGCTCTTCATTCGCGAGCACCGATGACCAATGATGCTCGCAACCCTCCCACGCCCTTGCTGGCTTGGCAATAGGCCCAGACAAGCGCAGCTACATTACCCAGGGGAAGAAAAACGCTCGGAACGATCACTTCCAGCCCCAAAACGCAGAAGGATCCGCACATGTGCAGGAAGTGCAGCGTGCGCTCTTCATTCGCGAGCGCCGATGACCGATAATGCTCGCAACCCTGCCTGGTTGGCAATAGGCCCAGAAAAACACAGCCACGTGACCTAGCGGAAGAAAAATGCTCAAAACGAGTGCCTCCTGCCCAAAAATGCGGAAGGATCCGCACATGTGCGGGAAGTGCAACGGACGCTTTTCATTCGCGAGTGCCTATGATCGATGATGCTCGCAATCCTCCCACGCACTTGCGGCAATAGGCCCAGACAAGTGCATCTACGTGACCCTGAGGAAGAAAATTGCTCGGAACGAGTGCTACCAGCCCAAAAACGCGGAAGGATCCGCACATGTGCAGGAAGTGCAGGGGGCGCTCTTCATTCGCGAGCGCCGATGACTGATAAGGCTCGCAACCCTCCCACGCCCTTTTTGGCTTGGCAAAAGGCCCAGACAAGCACAACCACGTGACCCGGCAGAAGAATAACGCTCGAAACGAGCTCTTCCAGCCTCGAAACACGAAAGGATACACACATGTGCAGGAAGTGCAGCGGGCGCTCTTCATTCGACAGCGCCGATGATCGATGGTACTAGCAACCCTCCCACGCCCTTGCTGGCTTGGCAATAGGCCCAAAAAAGCACAGCCACATGACCCGGCGGAAGAATAAGGATCCGCACATGTGCAGGAAGTGCAGCGGACGCTCTTCATTCGCGAGCGCCGATGACCGATGATGCTCGCAACTCTCCCACGCCCTTGCTGGCTTGGCAATAGGCCCTGACAAGCGCATCTACGTGACCCGGCGGAAGAAAAACGCTCTGAAAGAGCGCTTCATGCCTCAAAACGCGGAAGGATCCGCACATGTGCAGAAAGTGCAGCGGGCGCTCTTCATTCGCGAGCGCCGATGACCGATAATGCTCGCAACCCTCCCACGCCCTTGCTGGCTTGGCAATAGGCCCAGTCAAGCGCAGCCACGTGACCCGGGAGATGAAAAACACGCAGAATGAGTGCTTCTAGCCCCAAAACGCGGAAGGATCTGCACATGTGCATGAAGTGCAGGGGGCACTCTTCGATGACCGATGATGCTCGCAACCCTCCCACGCCCTTGCTGGCTTAGCAATACGCCCAG